GGGCCGCGGCAGCAGCTCCACCCCCCGGGCCGTGCCCGCCGCCCCGGGCAGGGGGACGCGGGGGCGGCAGGAAAGCAACCAGCAGGTGGGAGCACGATTCAGTGCTTCTGAAACTCGATTCTTTCTACTTTCACATCATCCTCAATCAGCTGGTAGACATAAGCCACAACTATGGAAGCCTGGATATTCATCAGGACAAATGAAGGGATGATGTTCCTGGAAAGAAAACATAGTTGGTTGATCTTCCTGCTCAGCTGAGGCTTCTTGCTTATCAACCTGCCTCTCATCTGCGAGTTCAAACATGCTTGGGTGCCAAGGGCTGCAGGGATCTGGTGAAGGCACTGACAGCAGCGCCTCGGGCAGAGCTGCACTGAGCCTGGAGCAGCCCCCAAGGCTGCTGAACAACCTGAGCTGTGCCAGGCTGAGACATGGAAGCTGGAAGTGCCCCCAGGACTTGGATTTCCTACAACATATTAGCATGTGGCTTCTGGGAAGGCACCAGAAAGCAAAGATCTCAAGAAGCTGCTGCAACTCACCCCTCTCCAGCCCCAGGAAGCAGCCCCAGACACACCAGTGCCAGGCTGTCCTGCCCAACCCATGGAATAAGTAAAACCCTGGCAACAGGGGATCCCCACAGCGTTCCCTGGGAGGGGAGAGAGCTGTTCTCCTGCCCCTCACAGCACCTCAGCAGCACGGAGGCTGGACACTCATGGTGATCACACACACTGTGGGTAATGCCAATGGGCTCTGCTGCTCTGGGCAGCTCAGAGGGCCCCCTCACTCACATTTCCAAAGCACTGTAGGCTCCTGTAGCTGATCCTGGGTTGATGTAGAATTTATTTGCATGTTCAAATGCTTCAAATCTGTGCGTGTGTCCTGAGATGAGGATGTCCACATCCCGCTGCCTCTGCAGCAGTGCCAGGCTGGCCACATCACCCCAGGGAATAACTTGATGGCCATGAATTAGCCCAATTTTGAACGGCCCAACAGTTACAACCTTCTCTTCAGGATAATTCAGGCTCTGAGAAGGAGAAAAGCACAGGCCATAAATCAGCCAAAGACACCTCACCTACACAATGTAGGTTCCTACATTGCAAGATACAAACCATTCTTTGGCTACTTGAGCACACAAGGTCTCTTTCAACATGCAGACTTTCAACACTGGATGCTCATACCACACCACAGCAAGAACAACTGCACAGCAAAGAGCTGGGAATTTGCACTGAGAGCCAGAGCCTCAAGGTTAACCAGGAGTAAATACACTCATGCTCCCAGTTCCTGCAGCTCCACAGCCAGCTGGGGGACTCCAGCAGCCTCACAGCAACCACAGACTTGTGCCAGAGTTTGTAAGAATCAGGTGCCTCTATTACCTCCCCAATCCCCACGCTGACCCCCTGTTGCAAGCACAATAAGAAGAGTCTATAAAACAATTCTATTGCTTCAGTCTTGCTCAGTCCTACTTCCTACCCCAGTAAGTTACAGCTCAGGAATTGTTAATACTGAAGCACTTCTCTGGTTTCATCAGGACCACCACAGCCTGCAGGAGGGTGGGCTGAGGGATTAGCAGCAGCAGCAGCATTACCTCAGAGTCCCCCCTAACGTGGATATCCCCACCCAGAGTCCTCAGGTAGTCGTAGCTCTCCTTGCTGCAGAGGTTTCCTGTGCACAAGATGTGCTGAATCTTTCCCGGAACCAGCAGCTCCTGGAACCTCCCCGGCAGCCCCGCGCAGCGCTGCGGGACGTGCAGGTCCCCCAGCACCAGCACCAACTACGGCAGCAGGAGGGAAGAGAGTTTTAACCCAGCTTTCTCAGCAGAGAAACAGGAAAACCTTTCTGCCGCTCCAGCGCCAAAGCCTGGCGAACCCCCAGAGGCCCAGCGGGGCTTATTTCAGATACAGCTTTGGAGAAACAGCCCCTCAACGTGCCCGAGCTGCCCCGCTCCGGGGGACACAGAGGCGGCGGG